TTGTTGGGTTTGGGGGGAAAAAGCCCCCTTTTTTTCAGGGCGGGGGGGAAACGGTTTTACCCGTTAAGGCATGAAAAAAATAAGAGCTTCCCCCCCCCCTCCCCCCTTTTCCTTTTCATTTTTGGGCTTCGGCCGGGGCGGCAACGGCAGCCTCCCCTTCCTTGGGGGGGGTCACCCCCTTCCTGGGGGGGCCGTTCCTCCTCAGGTGGGGGGGCCCCCCGGGGGGGGGGGCCGGTTTGGCCGGGGGGGAATTCCCCTCCCCCCCTTTAAGTAGCCCGGGGTTTTCGCCCAGGTGGGGGGAGTCGATCAAGTCAACCCGGGGGGGGGGGGGGGGGGGGGTAAGGGGTTGCAAGTTTGGTTTCGGCTGTCGGTCGGGTTGCGGAAGACGGGTTCAAAGCGGTTATTGACGTGCGCTGTGTGGGTGGTCGTGCTAGGGTCGGTGCCTCGCTCCCTGCCCTCGGAGGGGGGAGCAACGGACGGAGAGACGGGATTCGGCAGAGGCCATACCACTTAATAACCACACACCAACCCTGTCTGGAGAAGGTGCCATGAAGGCCGCAGGATTCTTGACAGCGCACGCGTAGAGCTAGAAAACCCGAAAGACCAACTCGCGGCAAAGGCGGTCCGCAAAGGCGAAGAGACCTGCTCTTGTCGTAAACTGTAACAACGTTGAAGTCGACAAACCCACCTCGGCACCAAGTGCACGTGCCTGTAACCTGGTGGTTCTGTGTGCCACTGTTCCAAGTGAACGACAACAATGGAATTGGATGCACAACACAAACATCAATTGTGTTCACGACAGGAAACATCCGAGGTAAAAATGCATCTCTCCCTGTAACCCCTCTCCCCCCTTGATTTGTAGGGGGGGGGGGGAAGAGCGCCGGGCAAGCTAGCAACGTACGGCACCCCCGTTTGTCACCTGGCGGGGCCGTCCAGATCGGCAAGCTCCAGTTGACATGGGGAGAGAGACATGTTGGGCATGAAGCTGCACACTCTGCCCGGCTGTTGCGTGCGTGCGTCCGTTTTCCAGGAGATACAACCAATCAACGGCCGCCGTAGTGTTTAATTCACCCAGCATTGGTCAGCCATCAAGCCCCGGCATGGCATGCACCGACAGTAGGGGCGGCGGTGGCGGAAGCAGCAGAGGCAAACAAAAATAGGACCAAGGACAAAGGGTGGGAGGGAGGGAGCCACGGAGAGCGTGAGCACCACGACAAAGAATTGTCAAGAAGAGATGCACGAACGGTTTACACAGCACGATGCGATGCGGGGGTGGGGAGGGGGGAGAGGCGTACTCATACTCATGTTTCGCATGCCTTAGTTGTTAGGCCATGGCCAAATCGTGCCCTCGGCTGAACGAGATCAGACCACTCGAGAGATGCAAAGGACGACAAACTGGCCGACTTTTGGCACATCTTTCCCTACAACCTATTATTATTATTATTAGTCTTGCTCGCATGTTCGCCGCCATCACCGCTACACCGACGAGAACAAAAATCAAGACAACGACAGTGTTTTCGTCCGCCTACCTCGTGGCCATCGCGCGCCTTGCCCCACGCGGCCAGGCCCTCGGAGGAAAGTAAGCACATCGCGTCGCACGTGTCCACGGCGTCGCCCAAAACAAAGTTCATCCGCACGTCCACGGAGGGCCTGGGCTTCCCCTGCTTTGCGAGCGCAGCACTGGACGATTGCTCCTTCTCGAGGCGAGCCCAGCTGACCGCCCAGCACATTCGCGACAGTTGCTCCAGGCAGGTCGCCACGAGTTTCGACATAATACTGTTCAGAAAAAAAAAAGGATGTGGCAAAAAAGACGAAAAAAAAGACGAAAAAAAAAAGTCATTAGCGGAGCGAGCGTGTATAACATTCAAGTAGTTGTTTGTTGTAGATGTACATAGCTCTTGTTGCTGTCGTCGCAACATCACAGTATCACAAGCCGTTCTAGTCTGCTGTCGTTGTTGTTTGTTTGAAAACTGTTCTGAAACACGCATCCAGTAGCCCTCCCAATCTTCCCGGACCGATGGCTTTCCCAAAAAAGGTGTCGTTTCAACTCAAGCGGACATAAACCAAAGCAAGGACGAGAGGCACGTGGCGTCATGTCACGGTTCCATACCAGAAATACCCATCCCGCTACAAGAAACAAAAAAAGCGCGAATTCATGGACAATCGTGCTTGTTTGAACGGCAACGAGGGAACGACGGGAAAAAGGGGGGCAAGCAAGGGGGAAAACAAACAGCCCCCCCCCCCACCACACCGCCAGCGTTTCCGCTGTCGCCCGGCTCCGCGTCCGTGGTGGACAAGACAGGCAACTCACTGCTGCTTGGCCTCTTCCGGTTCGTCTTCAAATTCCAAGGGGGACTCCGTGACGGTAAGGTCCACCCCCGTAACCCTCGGGGGGCCCGCGTACAGGGGCATGCACCCGCTAGCGCCAGTCATGTTGTATCGCCCGCCGTCGTGCGTATTCTCGTGCTCCCGCGGCTTGAAGGGGAGCCAAACGTCGTCGTGGTGGAAGGCGCTCAACGGGTTGCAGCTGTGGTGCACCTGTCGGGTGTTAGGTGCGGGCAACGGGGGGGGGGGGGGGGGGGAACACGCGCAGGTTCAAGTTTGGTGTGTGTGCTGTTTAATGTTGCTGCGGCTACGTACGGCGAACGGTTTATCACCATCATGTGCTTTCGAGGGCTCCTACTTCTACGGGCGAAAGCAACCCTTCCTCGAGCGATAGCTAGTTGCTTCGGCAGCTGCAGCTTCTTCGGGCGACAGAACAAGTCTTACACGGCTGTCACCGTACACTACCCCCACGCGCCCGACCGCACAACTCCATACGCTCGCTATCGTCTTGCCTGGTAGTCTAGCTCCTCGTGATCCGTCGCGACCATGGCGGGGTTGGTTTTGGTGTAGTACTTGCGGTCGCTGCTCGGTAGCCGCGCCAGACAGACGTGTCGTGCCGTCGTGTCAGAAGCAGCACCACGGGGCGAAACGAGGCACGCCAGCCAAACCAATCGGACGGGAAAATAAAAAATCCCAGAAAGGGGAAAGACATAGGACCGACGCGCGCAGTAACGTGAGGGAGAGGGCATCGTCTTAAGAGGCGCTGTCTCTTTCTGCTTCGCCTGTGTTCGCACGAGGACCGAAAAGAAAATGGTGGCGTCCGTCGGCCTACGCCCGCACACCACACACGCACAAAGCTCTGGGTCAAGGGAGACTAGCAGCAATAGTCGGGCGAGTCGAGCACCGCAAGAGTGGAGCCAAGCAGGAACCGGCCAACTCAGACGTCTTCGGGGGAAAAAACAAACGCGCACGAGCGCCCGGCATTCACAACCAAAGCTGTGCGTTGGCAAACCCATGTTCATGCGGCCTCCTGGTGCGAATGGCCCTTGCGCCATCTATACGATGGCGCCGGGAGAGCCAGCGTGCGCTCTGTCTGATGTCTCTTTCTCCCCCCCCTTAGCAGGATGCAGCACGCCCTCCACGCGACTAGCCGAATTCCTCTGGGCGCTTCGCGCTTGGTGAATATCGTGCGACTGTAGCCTGGTCCGGTGAAAGCCCGGCGTGCTCCGTCCCGGCTTTGTAGGGATGCGAGGTCAACGGTCAAACGACTACGGCATGCACGGCTATG